CTCGACTTCTTTGCCCTTTTCCAGCTGTCTGGCCTACTGCACGCTGTTGCTTTAGAAGATGAAGCTGCAGCTCTGCCCTCTCTAGCTCTGAATTTTCAGTTATTTTCCTATTACTGTTCAGCTGTGTGGGAGGTTCCCCTCTACCCTGACCCTACACAGCTCTGTCTCACCAGGTGTCCCTTCTCCGTTGTACCCACCTCAGGAAGGAGACAGGTTAAGATAACTGGGATCCCAAACAAGATTTTGAAGTGGATACCCTCATTTGTATAAATGAAGGACAACTACAACTCTTTAGAAAATCCCCAAACCTGTTTATTTTCCCTCCTTGATCCCATCATACCCTCTCTCAGCAAACCAGGCTCAGTTTCATGCTCTTCCCCCATTCACCAGCTCCCCAGTCCAGTGAAACCCAAGTCCTGCCTCCCTCCCCATGCCATATCCACCTTGGGCATCCCCCTCCCAGTGCTTTCAGGTGCTCAGTCCAGCACAGCCACCACAAGCTGCTAATTTGCTCCTGGGGAGGGGGGCTTGGATGGGTCACATCTCAGGGCTCCCAAACGACAGGGCCCTAGAAAATTGCTTATACCTAAAACAAGTTGTGGCCCAGGTCCTGATGGTCCAGGGAAGCCTTTTAGGAAGGGAGCTTGTTTCCAGGCTATATTCCACATCTTCCTTTGGGAATCTGTATTCACAGCTTCTCCATCCAGCTCATTTCCTCGCAGACAGTTCTTAATAAAAAACCAGCATGGGCTGAAAAACACCATTCCAGCAAAGAGGTCAACTTGCCTCTATCCCTGCAGTGTTTGTGCTGCCTTGCACCCATTCCTTCCTCTCCTCTCCCTTGGAGTTCAGAGGCTGCAGAGCCTGGAGCTTGCTTATCCGACTCACAACTGCTCCTGCTTGGGGAAGATGGGATTTCAGAAGGACCTGGTACTCCTCAGGAAGTGTTCGCTGTTGGCTGATGGTCTGTGCTACCTAGGAGAGAGGTTTCCCAGTGGCGATGCTACAGACAACATCTCTCTGGGCTCTGTCCTTCCAACCCAGTGGGTCAGCTCGGCTCAGCTTTCCGTGCCTCTAAGGCAGAAAATGAAAAGGGGAAAAGTGTGTTAAGCCCTTTCACTAACAACCAGAAAAGCCCAACACAAGTGACCCTCAGTGAACCTCCCCCTCCCATTCCTTGTCCACGTATCTGCTGCCCCCAGCCACTTGCCCCTGACGGTGCATTCCAGCCAGGACGGGGCTCGTGCCCTACACAGCAGTTCTGTCCCTCTCCCAGCTCAGTCCCTTGTAGGACAGAAAGCCACAGAAACGAAATGATTACTCTCTATTCCTATACACATGGGGCATTGATCCTAGGGTCTGTTTTATGGGCTGGGGAGGGGGGCAACGGGATGGGGACAGGGTGGGGGAGAGCAGGAGCGTATTTCATTTATAAAATCAAGCCCTGTTCTAGAGAAAATTGAAGTTCCTGTTTCTTTCCCTGTGTATTAGACTCCCCGTCGTCTTACAGGAAGTCTTAATAAAGTCTCCAGGGAAGTTTAAAATGAATTTTAAAAAATCATAATCCCCATATGGAAGCATTGGCATCAGTAAGATATACCACTGTGTGATAGCATGGAGCCAGGGAATATTTGAAGGCCTGTAAAATAAACTCGTTAAATCAGTATTCTGAATGCGCTGCCTATGGAGAAAGCCCCCCGTCAGCTACTTCCTATCTCTTGAGCAAAGAAAAAGATGTGCCTGGGTTTTGGAACCCAGCAGCTTGAGGCTGGGATGGGGGGAGAGCGGCACTTCGTTCTGGAGGAGAGACAAATGGCATTTCATTTGCTTGCTTGTTTCAAAGCCATCCCTCCTAATGCTGAAGGACAAACCAAAAAATTGCTTGGTCAGCCACAGACAGGCTTTCCGCATGCAAGGGGATGGCGAGAGGTCTTTGAGTGGTAGAACTAGCATCAGGCAGAAACCGCTCCAACAGATCTCAGTACTTGAGGGACAGCAGAGCAGCAACAGACACCAAAATGCTTGGAAATGACTGGCCCCAAATAGCTGCAGACAGGCAGCAAGCAGGACATGTTACAGAGGAATATAAGCATAGGCTGTCTGCCCACAGGCCACCAAAATCCATCATCCTTCCCAGTTTTAGGTGCCAAAGGTGCCTGAAGCATAGATTCTTGTCCTGATGACAGCACAGAACTAAGCAGGAAAGGCAAAAAGAACAGGCCAAGCATGCAATGATGCTCCTCTGGAGGATTCTCCCAGTCTCCAGGTAAAAGGAGCCTATTCCCCAAACTCACAGACTCAAGACAGCTGTGAGTAACAGCCCAAAGAAAGGCAAATTACAAAACTTTGTCTTCTTCTTTTTTTTTTTTTCCTTTTTTTTTTTTTTTCATTTTCCCTTCACTCTCCTCAAAGCAAAATGACTTTCTCTAGGAGCACTGTATCACCTCTTCAGATTTCCGACAGCGGATTTTGAAAGTGACCATGCATTTCAATTGTATCTTAAATAGGAGAAATTCTATTGTATCCTATGATCTCCCTGCAAAATAACTGTTGTGACCGGCAGTTTTATGGTAAGGGAAGATAGTGAAGTTCAGGGAGGCTTCACCACTATTATTACAGAGCAAGTCCCCGGAGCATCTTAAGAACGAAATATGCACAAAGGCCTGTTTCACAAGATCAATGGTCAGGTCCCATCCATTGTCCCAGATTTCACTTGTGACATTAAGCAGATTGCTTTTTTGTGCCCCAGTTACCCTGCATGACACTCCTCAGGCTGCCTGAGTCCATGCTAACGGACTTAGTACATCAAGGACTTGGATCATGAAGAAGATGTATTTTCTTTAGCCAGAAGAGATTAGGGCCATAAAAGATATTTGGCTCTGTGTAGAAATGATGGGTGTGCCAAGCGAAATACCATATGAAATTAGGAACAGTAGAGAGCCTGCATTCTCATCGTTATTGCCTGATGCACCTCTTAGACACCTTAGGGGTTTGGGAGTTTTACTTTAAGAGGGTGGTTAGTTGGTTAGTTGCATATGGATGGTTAGTTGGTTAGTTTGCTCAAAGCACCTCAATACATGACCTCCCCCACGCCCCAAATAGAAGGAAACAAAATGGGAAAAGAGAATGTAATTTCTGAAAATGGCATTTTTCTTTCAGCCGATAAGACACACAACCTCTTTGAAAATGGTCGACCTTGCCCATAACATAAAGATCAACCTGGCCAACAGGTGAAAAGCTCTGTTTCCAGTCCTAGAAATATTTACCCGTTTATTTCTTTATTTATTCATTCATTTTGGCTACTAGAAGGAGAAACCTATGGTTTGAACAGCTCTCCCTCCAGTTTGGGACTTCACAAGTCAGCCACTGGAAGGAGACTCTCAGTCCCAGGGAAGGTTTCATTCATTCTCAGTGGGTCTAACCAGGTGATCAGGACAGCATTGGTGATCCAGATTTCTTCCTTGATATCTCCCAAAAGTGAGATGGGCACAGATTGCTCTCCTTCTGAGGGCAGAGCCAAAACCCTGCTAATACTTAAATCTGTATTATGAAACTAGTAATAATCAAGCAGATCCTGTTCAGAGTCTCGTTGTGCAAGAAAGTACACAAAGGGAGAATGGAAAGACCATTATTTTTCCTTGAGAGTCTCTGGGGCTGCTGTAGTTACTCCAGAGGTTTCATCCTTCAGAGAAAGCTGCAATTGTAGTGAAAAGGTGTCATGGAACTTCCTAGCCATATGTGTATTATCTCTGGGCAAAACAGAACAGAAACTACGCTCTGTTTTTCACTGTTTTTTGTTGACAAATGCTTTTTATTGATAACATTAAAAGCAAAACCAATGAGCAAAAGAGAGAGAGAGAGAAAAAAAATGAAGAAAGGAAGGAAGAAAGAAAGGAAGGAAGAAAGAAATGCCTGCAGTTTGTCGATGGGTTTCTTTCACAAATGAACCAGAGATGAAATTCGAAATCTTCACCCCCTCCTATTGACCTGCTCGTCCGGACTCATGATCCTTATTGCAACCCCTCGAGGACACCCAACTAGTCCAACTCAACCTGCATCCACCAAAGGCAATGCATATTTTTCTGATGGCTCTTTTATCAGTGATGTCCTTGGGGTTTTAAATGACTTTCAGCTGTTACATCTACTAACCTGTGGAACACTAATACTATAAAAAGATGATTGCTCAGGTGGATTGATTTGATAGAACAGATGCCATGAAAGACTTCTTCAGACTAAAGCAGGGATGTAACAAAAGTTAGGCACAATTTAAAACCACAAAAATGAGAAAATACATCCAGCACAAACTACCTCTAAAACTATCTCCAGATACAGAGTATAACTATAGAAGAACAAGGTCCCCTCTAGTGGAAAGTTATGGAATCTGTCGATCAGGAGCTGCTACAAGTCCTTCCTCATCCAGGTTGTGTAGTATCTCAGGTTGTTTCCTCTTTATCACCCATGTCATGAACACATCAGGCTCAACTAACAAAAGCAGAGATATTGTCATTAATACCTGCGTATCTGGATCTCCAGTCTTAAATCCTGCTTTTGGCCTCGGGGATTTGTTGTTGCACTTATGTTTTCAGAGAAATCTGTGTATCTCCAATTTTGTCATTATTAATGCATTTTGCAAAGCTTCAGCAGCTGTGGATGTCATTTTTTCCAATGCAATTTCTCCATCTGGTGGTGTAAAAAGCAGCTCTGGAGCTGCTGTTGGTCAGTGTGCTCCACTCCAGCAATGTTAATTTGCACCCAAGGAGGGTAAAGCTTGGAGGAAGTGTACATCAGTTTTGGGCCATGCCTGTAAATTTAGTTTAGTCCCACTCCAGTCCTTACAACAAGTGTTGTTAGGTGGGATGTTTTCTTGAAAGTCTGCAACCCCCAGTAGTGCATTCCCTTAATTATACCCACACTCTGTAACTCTGACAAATTAAGAGACAAGGTGGTGTATCCCCCCCAGGTGATCCAGAGCCAGTCCTTCTCAAAGGAAAAGCAATTCATTTTATTTTATTTTATTTTATTTTATTTTATTTTATTTTATTTTATTTTATTTTATTTATTTTATTTTATTTTATTTTATTTATTTTATTTATTTTTTTAAATTAACAGAACATCTTATTTGTTTCATAAGACATGACCATAAATTAGTACAAGTTGATATATAATAATATGAATGTATATTCTCTCTGCTCTTGTCAGAAATTAATTAAAATTTATTGCAAAGACTCCAATAGTCCCAGGTGTATTATTATTATGATTATTATTATCATTTAATGTAGGGGGAAAGCAGTAAGACTGGGGAGGAGAGGATTAAGGAAAGGTCTGTTTTACTCTGTCAATGGTGAATTTAAAGACAAATTGAAGGGGCAGATTTTCTTCACTGAGGCTTTGGGATCAGGTGCATATCTGTCCTTCTTCCCTCTTACCAAATAGGTACAGATTGGGTCAGCACCCGCATTCTGCACATCATAAGGAAAACTAACAGAAGGATTAACAGCCCCACACCATGTTTCCAGCTGTGGAGCAGGGAAGTAGTCTTTCCTGCCCAGCTCACAGCTGGATGCTGTCCTACAGATGCTTAGACATGTGAATTGGGGTTTATAAGGTAGAGGCATCCAGTCGGACCCTAAAATACACAGTGAGCCAGACAGTGAGCTCATGTAACCTTGTGCAGTTCCCAGGTACTGCCACCTGTGCGTGCAGGGTGTGCATGCAGGTTTTTAAAATCTTTTTCCATTTATTTTCTCTTTCAGACTCTATTAAAGAAATCATTAAACAGGGGGAGACCAGAAGAAAGCAGGTGACTGGTATGTAATGATTGATACCCGTCATGTTTCTCTGTGTTGGAATCAATGTGATTTCATCAACTCTGGCACTAGGAGTCTCTGCAGCTCCCCCAGCAAAGGGTGGAAGACCTAAGGAATATAAACTGATACCTCCCTCATCTGCTATTACACACACACGTACACACAGACTGGGTTACAGATCTGGGCTCTTGCAGAATTGCTTCCTCCTCAGCTGTCCTCACGACTCTTGTGTTCCCATTTGCTCCAGCTGAAGTAGTGGATAAAAGTCCTTTTCCTTGTGTTACAACCCAGCAGTAGTCCTGAGCCGTAAAGCTGGGCATCTGAGGCCTCTCAGATTGAAGAGGGAATTAAAAACATTTTCTCCACTCCTGCTTGGAAGCTGTAATCCCCACACTTCTTGCCTATCTTCAGCCATTGAAAAACTAGGGATGGGACTGAGATTCAGCAGCTTAAATATAACAATGTACATATTCGCACTCATCAGGGGTTTAATTGCAGTGGATGGAGATTTAGGTTTCCAACCACCTGTCTGCATCTAGAGTCAGAAGTATTTTTCATACACTATGGAGATCATGCATGGGGCCAGTGAAGTGCCACAATTCACTCTCCTAGTAAATATTTTTGTGGTTGTAAACATCTTTGCTCCTCAAGTCCCACACCATCTCTTCACTAGCTCTGGTGCCTTTGTACCAATATGGGGTGAGTAGGAAAGGAGAGAAGGGGAGCAACAGGCAGGACGAATGTCTTTGCAGTGATAGATCAGCTCTCTGTGTACATTGAAATCACAGGGTGGATAAAAAATAGTTGGATTAATACAAATGTAAATCCTAGGTCCTGAGCCTTATAAGCAACTGGAGATAACTCCCTCCTCACCCGCCAGTGTAGCATCGTATACCACTATAAATACTCAGAGACAGTGTAGGCAACAGAGACAACAGGGAGAGATTTAGTCATCCAGATAGCTTGAAAACTCTCTCTCATTAGCATGAATGTGTTGTATTTGTGCATGTAAATATTCCGTGGCTATTAATCTTAAGGCATACATTGCTGTGATATTTACAGGACACGCTAGGAGAAAAGCTGCTTCTGTTAAAGGTACTCTTGAAAATTCTCCGGGAGGTGAGAGAAATAGCAGCCACGTGGAAGCGTAGCCAAAGGCCTGGTTTCAAAACTGCTCAGGAAGAGAGAGAAGACATAAATGCATTCAGCCCTGCTCCCTGGAGACCCTGAGTTTCTCCTGCAACACGCCGAATAACTTCACATCCCCTTTATCCCGGCGGGCTCTCGTCGTCTGCAGCCTTCGTGGAAGGGATGATGATGGACGGAGGGCAGCCACTGCCCGCAGCAGCACAGATGCAGTCTCTCTCTTTATTCTGTGCACATCCTCCTACAGCTTGATTTATGTGTCTTTCATCAGAGAAGAGAAAAAGGTTGATAAATCTTCTGGGAAATATGCAGTTCTGTGTCTAAGGAAGTATTTCCTTCAGCAGTTCAGAGAAAGAGGCATCAGAGAAGGAAGGAAAGCTTTCTCCCATGTGTCCAAGCCAACTCTCAGAAACCGAATGAGCTATGACTTAAAAACCCCCATTCTTTGGGTTTTAACAAGCAGAATTTACCTAATGCCTAAAATTACCCATGTGCAAATTCTATTTAGGAGGAGATGAGTGCTAGTTAATGTTTATCAAAAGCCTTTAGGCCTTCAAGAAGAACATATTTTAAATGAATCATGTCCTCCCTTTAGTTTAAGGAATGCAAATCTCTGTGAGGTTCCATGCTTGTCCAAATATCTGCTTCTTACTCCAGGCTGCAATTTGGTTCCAGCTGCTATTCTCACGTAGCACTGCACAGTGCTTTATTTTATTTATTTATTTATTTTTTTACAACCCCCGTCTAGCCAAATGGCCAGATTTCCCCTAATGGACAAAAAAGTCAGTGACTTGGTCTTCAAAATGGAATAAATCCGTACATCTAGTGGCACTCAACAGCCTGAATGCATGGAGGCAGGTACCATCAGCTCCCCACAAGTATTTGAATGTGCCCTCCCTAGAGGACTGCTACCACTACCTTTAGCAGGGTCACTTCTTCTTTGCTGGGGCTTTGGCATTCCCACCAGCTTTGCCGTTTGTTTTGGTGCTTCCTCCAGATTTTGCTGCTTCACCTTCTTTTTCACCTTTCTTTCCACCACCTTGTTTCTTGTCATTGCTGCCCTTTTCTCCCTTTTCACCCTTTTCTCCTTTTTCTCCCTTTTCTCCTTCTTTCTTTTTGGCATCTTTCCCTTCTTTCTTGGATCCTTCTTTCTGGTCCTTCTCACCATCCTTCTTCTTGGAGCCTTTGGATCCTTCTTTCTTACCCTGAGCCTTGTCCACTTTTCCAGATACGGTGGGAACGTCTTCTTTTTTTTCTTCTGCCACCTGAGCTGTATGTGAGGACATAAAAAGAAAACAGAAAGGCAATTAATGTAGGGTGACACTATCCAAGAAGAGGGTAGAACTCCTGCTCCCTGATGGCAAATCCTAGACAAAGGAAAAACACTCAGCTTTGTCCCTACAGCTGTTTTTCTCACTGGCTAGCAGCTTTCATATCTTTGTTTTGAGAAGGCAGACTAGTGGGGTAAAGCAGAATTGGTGATTTGAAGAGCTGAGCTGTAGCTCTGTTAGAAGAAATAGCTCTCATTGGTCAGAACTGGTCCCTGAACATTATAGTGAGAGTCCATAGGCATTTCCCAATAATGGCATCAGTGTGGAGTGGTCTCCTTCCAGGCAAAGGAACAGAAACCTCTCTGATGTAATCCAGTTCAGCCCTGGTCTGTCTTTGCTTTTTTTTTTTTCTTCTTATTTTTTTTCTTCCTTTTTTGTTTGTTTGTTTGTCTTTGTTGTTGTTGTTGCTGCTCTTTGTTTTGTTTTGTTGATTTTTTTTTTCATGTTTTCTTTGTTTAATTTCCTGCATGGGGTATGTCTCCTGAAGCTGAGAGTGGACAGCAGAGATTTTGCTGGGGGGTTTTGCTCTCAGAGACAGACAGGCAGAAGATGACCTGCCCAGCACAGGACTACCAAGTAGGCTTTGCTTATATCCTGTCCAGACCTGGTCATGGGACTGGCTTCCTACCTGCACCAATGTAATTAATAGCAGTGACATTCCAAGGGCATATAGCAATTAACTCTGTTTTGTTATGTTTTAACACACAATCCATAACAGTTTTAAGAATTTTATAATATCTCTATTTCTCCAATATATTTACTTAGGAATATCTTGGATTCGCTGCCCACATTTCAAGTGAGAAGAATCATAAGTATCCCACTGGGTCTTGCAGACAAATTATTCTGAAAAAGGATGCTATGAAAAATAATTTTCCTTCCCCCCCTTCCTTTTTTTTTTTTTTACTTCTAATAAAACTGGTTAATTCTCTCTAAAGTATTTCTAAGCTCAGAGCTTGATGCACTGAGCTCTCATTTCAAGTTGCTACACAACACTCAAACACAGATCAGATTTCCTATATTTCTTACAGATTTTTTTTTCTTTGCTCATGACCAACCAGGTATAAAGTTTTGAAAAAAATGAGGTGAAAACGTGTTAACTTTCCATGGCTTCCTTTTCTGAAAAGCCCCATTGTAGGACTCAGATATGTAAATAGATAACCACATTGGCATAACTTAATAATTAAGCTCAGCCAAGATACAGGAATGACCTGGGAGTGACCCGAGGAAATGGAGGATTACTGGTCACTGTTTAGCTAAGGAAAGATGACAGTGAGCTGGCTCAGGAGGTAATTTGGTAAGGGGTGATCATTTGGTGAGATATCTCAACCTTACGTGGAACCATTAGACTCCTGTCCATTTAATTGGCCCCAGACCTCCCTGCTATGGAGATCTGTAGTGTCGCTTTCAGTTTGCAGCAATGTATTGCAGGGGCGAATCAAATCTGCATTTATTATTTTTGCCTAAAATATTCTTTCAGGCTGAGCACTAATTTGAAATTTTATCCTTTCACCTTGGGAACTGCTAATTCATTTATACACACAGATGGGAATGGAACATTTTTTCTTATAACCACAGGGGAAATCCTGACATCTCATATAAAAAGAGGAGAGAAAACCAACCAACAAACGAATAAAACAAACAAACACAAACAAACAAACAAACAAACAAAACCAACATTGTCTGCTTCCTGGAGAAATGTGGTAGGATCCAGATGCATTCCCAAAAAAGTCAGCTGGATTTGCCTCAGACCAGAATACTTGAAGATTTCCCAGGCCACAACCCCAGACAGCACATCTCCACTCACAGCAAGGGCCCAGTTCTGCTTGTACCCCTCCCACATGCTGGGAGACAGAGCTTAAATAAATTAAGTTCTATGTAACATTTCATGCACTGAACTCTATCTAAAGTTCATTTTCTTTTATGTCCCCCCAAAAAAGGGCTTGCCATATACAACACTCAGAAAAGTGCATGGAGAGTCATTTGGCAGTTAGAATATTCCATCACATTAAATGTGAAATAGAGTCAAATAATGCCAAGAAATGAGAGTATTATTGTAATATATTCTTGGTTAATAGCATTTGACACTTACAGAAATCTTTAAACCATTTAATGGCCACTCGGTAATTAAAATCATTCAGGTTGTCTGTTTGGCCTTGACCAGATCCACTGAGGGTTGTCACAGTGTAAGTAGAGAAATAGTCAGTGAGTGCATACATCATATTTCATGACCACATAAATCAGGGTGGACTGCCAATTGTCAGTGGAGCAGCATGGCAGACCATCACACCCTGTACAGACAAGAATAATAGCACAGAGACGAAGCCCGAAGGTTTGCATACTTTCCATCTTAATGACTAAATCATGAAGTGAAACTCATCTGAAGACAGGATTCACATTAATCTCAGCAGGAGGTTTGATCACACACAGCTTTTGCATCTACCATTTAGGCACTGACGGTTGAGTCAGAGCCTTTTGGTCCTCAAGACTGGAGACATGCAGGCATTTCTAAGGCACAATTTACCTCCCTTACTCTGAAAGGAATCACATCCTTTTTATTTATCACTGTGGTTAAAAGAATAAAAACTACATGACTAATGCTGATGCAGACTTCTCCATAGATGTGGGTAATGTGTTTGTGGACAGTTGAATTGCACCCCAGTACCAGTTCCTTCAGGGCAACCTGGTCAGATTTATGTCTGCCCACAGAGGACCAGGAGACTCAAAACACATATCTTCAGAAGCCGTTACCAAACATCAGCAGCCACTCAGTGACGTTATCCACTAGATTCCTACCCTGCACCATGCCAGGACCATAGATCTGGGACTCTCATGAGGTTGAAGGGTGGTGAGGTACTCATATATTTCACGGGATAAAAGCTATATGGTGCAGGTGACTTCTCATATATTGCTTTCTTGTGGCTATTTATTCACGAGCTCATGATGCAGCATTTTACTGTGGTCCAATTAAACCCACACTAAACTAGCAAGCCTTTGGATAGAGTTTATGTACATGTTTATGTGTTGTGAAGGCTGCTTACAGGAGATCAAAATTTATTAACATTCTGGAGTGAAACTGTCATTCTACTGCCCCAAACTCCTTTCTGTCTCTTTGAGATATTCTCATCTTTATTTTATTTTATTTTATTTTATTTTATTTTATTTTATTTTATTTTATTTTATTTTATTTTATTTTATTTATTTATTTATTTTATTTTATTTTTTATTTATTTATTTTTAACAGCCAGGCTGTTAAATGCTACAAATCCTCCTAAAAGAAGATGTAGCAGATGGCTGAACTTGGCTTTCTGCTATCTACAGGAATGAGCCTTCAGACTCTCTGGGATCTACTGAGCACTGGTCCTTACAGAATCAGAATTTGGTCTTTTGACCAAGAAGTCAAAAGATGTAATAGTAAGTGCTCCTATACACGATTGCTTATACATGTAGGAGAGCATTAACTAAACCTTTGGATGACTTTTGACTTTGAAATACTTTAAGAGAATTTAACAGTATGGTCAAGGGTTTATTCACACCAATTGGGTTCCGGTCCAGAGAGTGGCCTGGCCATCTTTAGCTTACAGTATAGGCACGGTCAAGTGGTTGAACACATCAGAAATACTGAGGTATGTGCAACAGCTTACTATTAATAACATATATCTATATTTTGCTGGTGTAGGAGTAAATTTCCACAGTTATTTTGTCTGCCTCTTTCACCAGTTTTATAGACTGAAGCATCATGTTGTGAGTTAAAGAAACTCCAGGTTTTTATGAAGCTACAGACCCCATTGCTTATAGAGACACAGAAACAGGGAACAAACAAACAAATAAATAAATAAATAAAGACTTTCATTAAAAGTTCTTGAGAAAACGAGTGAAATGCAGAAAGGGAACTGAGAAGCAGAGAGTCCAAGGCATGATGGATCTCAGAGGAAGCCACGGAAAAGAGAAGCCACAGACAGACAGACAGACAGGAAGGCAGTCCCCTAATTTCCTTGTAGGGCCATTTCATCTTCTTCTTTCACCACAGGCAGGGAGTTGAGAGGTCTGGACTGGACATGACCAGAGAGAGTTGGGAGAGTTTCAGTAGAGCCTAGGGCACAGAATCAGGAAAGGTGAGTGAGAGGAGAGGAGACCAATGACAGAAATACTCTTGGCCATCCAAATGGGGCAGACCAATCATGGGCACTGTGAAATTCTAAAACTTTTTCTTCCTACTGAAAAAAAAACCCACCCCAGAAACTGTCCTTTAAAATGGACGAGACTATCTGGAAATTTTAAACATGAGATGCAAAGGAATAACCCTTACTTGTACTATTGACAGAAACTGTCCCCTGTATCTGAATGACCATGTCTGCTGCCACATGTTGTTGGTTTAGAATTGTGCATGTGAATGGGAGAGGTTTACCATGTCACAGTGGTATCTTCATTGTTATGCCCAAGGAGCTACACTGATTTACACATTGGGAGGGCCTAACCCTTACCATTTAAGCATACAGAAAACAACCCCAAAAAGAGAGATAGGTCTTATGTGCAGGTGAGGGCACGAGAAGTACCTCCAGGGATCTCTGTCAGCTCATTGAGTGGTGGCACAGTCTCCAGTTTGTCTGCATACGTCTTGGCTGCTTGCCGTTGAGCATATCGTGCCTCAATCTCTTTCTTTGTCCGGGGAATCCGGCACTTGAAGATACAGCACAGGGTAATAACTGGGAAAGGAAAGAGAGAAGCAAGAGCATTGAGCTTAGATGAGCAGATCTCTGTCTAGCACAGGTTGGTTTCTTCAAGTTTCTTCAAGGGAACCTGGAGCTATTTGCATCTGTGGAAGGGCCCATCAGTTACCAATTAAGTTACCTGAAAATAAAGATTATTACTCTTAAACTGAGTTGTGGAAAAAAAATGAAGAAAGTCCCTCTCTCCAAAAATAATGTGAAACAGTTGCCTTAAATCATATATACCACTGCTGTTTCTGAGCACAACACAGTCATTACTTTTATTTTCATCACCACCCTGTAGATTTGTGAAGTATCATCTGACTTTTCAAGGTGTGGTAGGATATAAGAACATCAACAGCTCCTGACACCATATCTTAGTCATCCAGTTTTGTGGTAGGTAGGTCCTGGGGATATGGACCACCAGCTGATGAAAGTAATGAGGATAGGAATGCTGTAAACCCTTCAAAATAGATCCAGAACAAGAGCTCAGTCTATGCCTTTACGACTTTCATCCAAATCCATTTAGGGTAAGTCAAGAACTGAATCCAGATCTCCTAAATCATCATGCTCTTACTATATCACTATGCTTCTTTCCATGAGCTTCTCTTCTTTACATGACTTAAGGATGCAGCTGATGATTTAACTCCTAATAAGATATATCTTTCCTACGTGGCTAAATATGTACATTATTTCAGAGTTTACATGTGTAAATCTAATCATGATTCAGATAATTAATTATAAAGAAATAGCTATTGGTTGATTGCCTAGACTAGGAATTCACAGGCTTGATTAGATCATTGGTTCATCTGTGTGTCACCTCTGACAACAATAAAACAGCAACTTCAAGAAAAAAAGGCAATGAGGCTTTGAAACTAGTAATCACAAAATTAGGTGACCCAGAGGTTCCTAACACAACTGAAAAAACATACGATCTCATAGTCTGTATGAACTTTTGAATCACTTTTTCCTGGGCATTCTTTTAAAGGGATGTGTAATAAAACTCATCTTTTCAGTCTATCTAAATGCTTAATCTCATTTATCTATCCTGTAGAAAGAGACAGGTTCTGCAGGCAGGCAGAGACTTGTTCATAGAAAGAGGTTATATGATTAGTTTTACATGTTCTCTCTTATCTTAACTGGAGATCCCCCGTGCTCTGAGAAAGGAACATACATCCAACCTTCTGGATATTTCAACAGCTATTTCCTCTGTTTTTCTATCACCATGAGCAATGGATTAGACCCTTGAGGTTAATTCAAGGAAAAGAGAGAAATAATCTCCATGTTTGGTTCCAAGTGCGAGCATTCTCATCCACGAGGAGTAAAACCTTTTTGCAGAGAGCCTGCACAATGTCAGCACATAGAACATTTGCTGGTGTAAATATTTCTCCTTAAAAGTTTTTCTTGAGCCTGTCCAGCCTCTCCTAAGCAGGACCATGTCAGCCAGGAACAAGACTTGCATGATGTCATCATATCACAAAAGAGAAAAGAACAGTAGGAAAACACCTTTCTTAGGGTTTTAGTTGAGACTTGTGTGAAGTCACCAAGCAAAGTGCAGCACGTTCCCTATCCTTTCCTGCCAAAAATATCACTCCCCTTAAACAGCCTGCTGCAGGGGCTCTGGGCCACCTAAATGTCACAGCAGCATGAGACACCTGAAGCTGTAGGAAATTGCCTAAAACAACGTGAAATAGTAATAATCTGTAATTGGGGAAGCAATCCAGATGCTTTTATCCTTGTTCTTCCGTGAGGGTCAGCCACAAGCTGAGGGTAATTGAGCTTGTACTTGTCTGACACAAGCAAAGCAAGGTACCCATATGGTGTTGTTGGCAGCACAACACTGGCTGCTCACAGGTGGGTAACAACTGTGTCTGGAAAGCACATGGCTGGGTCTGCCTGGCTTTTTGGGGCAGCAGGATTTTTCACTGTGCACCTGCCCAAAGGGCCACAGCGATATTGCAAGCAGGGGATGATGAGGGCTTCTTCATGTTAGCAGACAAAAAAAAAAAAAAAAAAAAAAAAAAAAACAGACATCCCCTGGGCAAGGACTCAGGGCAAGGTCAGGCTAGACATGCGTTGAAACAGTGACAGAAAGCTGGGGAAAAATTTACTTGGGGAGAATGGGGTACGTGCTTTTTTTCTCTGCCCACTTTTAAATCAAGATCCATGGTTTTCCTGAAAGCATTCTGGAATTCAGCTGAGCTGTTAAGTCCTCTACTCACACTCAAGAAAAATAATTACTAGGAAAATTAGCACCACATTTCTTGGGGAGTGTTAAACTTTGAGCATATCAACTTTCAAGTAAAGCACAAAGAGATAAATCAACGCCCTTGAAAGCCAAAGAGAAGATGCCTGCTAATATCACAGTTGTTCGCTTAGCCCTGAGAGAAGGACTTGGAATTGTTGTATCTCTCACAGATTTACTTCTTTTCAATTACAAAGGCAAAAAGCATTGTTGCCACATGACAGTAATGAGCCGGCCTCTCTGTTTAATTTTCTAATGGAGATGATGAAGTGCTGTATTGAGATATCAGGGATGTGTGCTGTCTTGGGGCATGAAATGATTCACAATCAGCCATTGCAGCAAGAAGATTACATGAAAATAACAGAGTAGTTTTATATCTCCATCCTCCTATGCTTAGTGTGAGGCTAAAGCCACACAGGGGGCTAAATATTGGAATGAATGATGTTGTATTTTAACAGAATAGGCAAGTGAATAAGATTTTGGTACAGGAGCCTTAGGACACTGAAACTGATGCCAGGAATGAACATGTCGTTGCAAGTGGGAAGTTATGGCCTGTTGGATTTCTTTGCTTTTCCATCCAGGTCAGACAGAGCAGGCTGTGGAATTCATCTGCTCTGGTTTGCATGTCCCAAAGCTAAGAATGGAGATTAGGCTCTCAGACAGTTACCCCAAGCTGCCTTCTGCACTGATAGAGAGAAAGAAATGTCTCTACGGAGTGATTAATCTCATATTAAGACATATATTTCAGGTAGGTCAGATGAATGATCCTCTGCACCTGCATTTCTCCCATTAAGTACAAAGAGAGCCTGCAGCGACCAGTCTGACAAAGGGCCACGGAGAGCAGCGACCCCCTGAAGCAAGAGCCAGAGGCCAGACAATGCTCCCTAAGCTTCTCAAATGTCACCAGAGATCTACATTTAGGCATACAAACTCCCTCAAAAAAAAAAAAAAAAAGGTAAATCTCATCCTTTGGAAGTAAGAGTGAAATTTTCATTCTCTATTAGAAGAAGTTTGAAGCCACGTTAGCATCGTTTCTGTTGTGCCTGGTAGATCTTGGATGTTTTTCAGGCTTCCAACCAGTCAGATGTTATTTGCTCCACTGGTAATTTATCCATTAAATGAGCCAGAAGGTGATGTAGCCATAATGTTTCCTGGGCCTTTTCTGGTGCCAAGTTTATTTCCACTTGGAAGAGCAAAGCTTATTTATTTATTTATTTATTTATTTATTTATTTATTTATTTATTTATTTATTTATTTATTTAGCTCTGTAGACAGAAACCTGGGAAGCTGAACATGCCTTAAGGGCATGCCTTAAGAACATGCCTGAGAGCACCACACTGCCAACAACCTTTCCGGAATTTGGCTGCTTGTGTTCAGGACCACATGAGAAGTAAAACACTTGATGGCCTTCAAAGGAGGAGTTAGAAGAAGCCTCAGGAGAGGCTCCCCTCTGCTTCACGTGGGAGTGACTTTCAAGCTGATGAGCTCATTCCTGGTTCTTGCCAGAGGTACACAGCAGTGGTGCTGCAGCTATGGCCGTGGCAAGCCATGTGTCCCATTGACCTGGACTCAGACCCATGGATGTGGTGTCCCAGCTCGACCTCAGACCTGCCCCATCACTTCTGCTTTGTCTGTGTCTGACTTAGCCACCATGTGAGGATTGTTGATAACGAGGACTGCCGTTTAAAAATATCCATTCCCACAAGACAACAGATCACGATTTGGATTGTGCTTCCTTCCATGTGAGTTAGACATCAAAGCAATCCTCCTACAAAAGCTTAGTACATACCACAGCATCAGCTGAGCCTGTTAACTGATGGGCCCAGTGTTCTCGGGACAGATGAATTACCGTATAAAACAAACCACATAAAACCTCCACGCGGTTTATATATGCAATGCGAGTAGCTTGAAGATTTTGTTTGAGATATGAATTTGTGTAGAAATATTAATTGCAACTCAGCTGAATGGTGATAAACTGATCATGAATAGTGATTACTTGACCACTTTTGATTCTGGGTCCATAGGATCAAGCAATAGGAAGATCCAGTATGTTGGATGAGATTTGAGGATTTGTTGCCATGCTTTTCTTCTGGCAGGCAGATGACTGACTTCAAGACTTGAATGTTTATTACTAATTCTCTTATACCCCAGGTAAAAGCTTTAATTGCTCTGCTATCAGACGATATTAAGTTTCATTCTTTCATGCTGTGGCTCTTCTTTTCCTTTCCAGGATTTCAGCTTTCATTTTGGCTGTTGCAAAGCCTTCTAAACTGCAGCCTAAGTCAACTGTTCCCTTAAAGTCTGATGCTGCTGTGATCTTAAACAATCTCCCTGTAATGTATTAGGGCCACATGAGTGCTATGGAAGGTCCACAAGAATATCCAGGCTTGAAATGCTGACATTATTCATGGTTTCTTTGATGACAGACTACACAAGGCAAAAGAAACAACCTGTGTCACAAAATGTAGTGGAGTCATTTTCAATTCTCTCCCTTTTTCTCAGCTTTTCTGCATTAACAATATGGTCTTGTGATACCATGATGATAGGCATCTTCTATTAACTGCAAAATTAAAACATCAGCTTCTTCTTTTGCAGCAACATGCTGTGGATTGCTTTGCTTTTCATCTGCTAAAAATCATTTTCCCATCTCTCCACCCTCCCCTTCCTTTTCAGTTATCTGACACACATGGCTGAATTCAGCCACTTATTTTTATTTTTGAAGGAACAATTATGTTTTAAATTAAAAAGCCTG